GCGCCGATGAAATCAAGCCACTAAACACGCCAGAGACATTAAATTTTATCTCTGAGATGGCTATAAGATGACTTTATAGGAACCGCGTTCAAAATTAGGCAGTGGCCGTGGCACAGCCCACGTTTAGGTGAAAACCCATATCTTGAGATCTGCTTAACCGATTGCAACCAAATTTCGCGTTGCATAACGTTCTTTTCATGTTTCTATTCATAGTGCCCGAAAATGGGCCGAAATCGGCATAACAACCACGCCTATTTTCCATATGACACCATTTTCAATCTCCATCTGATGTCTTTCACTTCCACTATGCCCAAATCAGGTAACAATGATTATATCGGGGTAAAACTTTGCGTGAAAAATGCGAATTAAGCTTATGCCACCTTGGCCAAAAATTGTGCTAAATCGCAACCAAAACTGTTCAAACCCCTCTAAGTCACTAAATATGTGACCCAGTGCCTATTATAGTTGACCTTCTACCGAAAATATCAGTTCAATCACAAAGAAATCTCAAACGAGTATACCATGTATACCATTTGACTTTGCGAGAGCTATAAAGATAGTTTGGTTCCGTTACATCCGAAACTTAGCGGCCTTCCTTACTTTTTATCATTATATACTTACAATCTAGTTGGCTCTCTCTTGCTTTAATTCACTTTCTAAATACTTGTGTAGTAAATATGTGCCATCAACTAACGAGCTGACGCGAGCGAGGGGATAGGTAAGCGGATTTGCTGACGCCGGAATATTAGCGTTATGTTTAGCGATGGGTGTTTCATTATTTTAAAATGAATGTTTTGTATGATTATTTTTTAATGGCAGCGCCCCATGTATTGCTACTCAAAATTAACAATTAATTGATTTATTTTAATATAATTCAAAAGCGTTCGTCATAATACTAAAATTGAAATGCTTAAAGTCCAGACCGCTGATAATTAAGGAATACCATGATAAAAATATATGATAATCCAAATAAGGGGAGAGATAAGATATCATCTGAACAAATTTGATTTGTAACAGATCCATTTAAAACTGCGCTGCCAAAACCGAATGGATAAACATTTTTCCCAGTTTGGTACAACCTCTTTTAATGCTAGTGGTAGTTAGTTTCATCTCAACATACTCGCTATATGTTCAATTAGTTGTTTTTGATTTATGCTTGCTTCGCACGCGATACATTTGGACTGGAGATTTTAAACATAGAAAAAAAAAATTTAACAACCGATTTTCCAAGTGTTTTGAGGCTAGGTACAGCTCGCTGCAACATCGAGAACTTTGCCTCATACGAATCGTCCATCCACCTCTGCTTAATCGAAAATACTTAAGAAACATTAATTGAAGTTCGTCGTGGTTCATCAGAGAGAGAGAGAGAGCAGAGGATTAAATATCTCTTATGGATCAACTAAAGATCTTCTTCTTAATGTTTTGGTATTGAACGTGACCCAATGCTAGACCGTACCAAAAGACCTGAAAACTTTTGAAAAATTTTGCCTTGAACAACGCTAGCTGCGCACGCCCTACATTATCAAACCTATCATACTGTGACAAGAAGTGCGTTTATAATATGACATCAGAAATCGTGCAAACACTGCCAATAATCTAACGACTGGTCGCTTCAAAATTGAGACGAAACCTGCGAAAAAAAAACCAAAAAACAAAAACTCACAAGCCATCTCAGCCGCTGTGCTTATAAACACTGCCTACGAAAATTTGTTCAAAAAGCCTACAAAATTTTATAAAATTCTTTGATCCATTCCAGTCGAAAAATTTAACTAAACATTCAAAATGACCGACTTTGTCAGCATATGTAAGGAATATGAGTACCAACATAACGCAACAAAACAATCGAAAATCGCGTTATTTTTTGAACAAACCTCATATGGAAAATTGGATTAGGAGTTGGCATGCTAGTACCATATTAGCTCAGAAGCCTATTTTGAAGGCGATAATAAAGATTTGAATTATAATACGTTAAAATTTATTTTTATTTTGATCCTTAGTCCTTCCGAAAAACTTGATAAAAATTCGTATAGCTTAAGCTTTAACTCTCCCGAATACACAGAATAAAAATCTAAAAAGTGAGCAAAAAACAATAGCACATGTTATATAATGGTGCTTTTATGACAATCAAATGTTAATTTGATTTTCTGCCGCAGAACGTATGAAAGGATGGCAAATAATAAATGTACATACACAAATAGCTTGTTTTGACATCCGTTATAGTCCTTGCGATGCCAAAGTGTATACATACTTTTTGGGGGGTGAAGCAATAAAACAATGAAGACATTTTATGGATTATGATATTTCCATTATGACAATTGGCAAAGCCAAAGGATACAAACAGATGCGTAAATGTGGCAAAAAAAAGAAATAAAAATGAAAGAGCGAAAAAGGGCTTTAACATTTACTGGGTGACAAATCATTCGGGCGGACAATAAAAAAATTGTTTCAAATTAAATTGAAGAATTAATGAGTAGTGGGAATAAGTATGTATTAAGCGTTTTTATCTGATCATTGACCAAAAACAAAAATAAACATTTACATCTAAAATTTAAATTTTATCTCTGGGATGGTATGAGATGACTTTACGAGAACCGCGTTCAAAATTAGACAGCGGGCATGGCAATTCGGTACATTCGGTGCCTATTTCCGATATAACACCATTTTAAATTCCATCTGATTCACTTTCCACTATGCAAATCAAGCAAAATATATAAAGAAAACTGAAACGCGTATACCGTTTGACTTTGCGAGAGTATAAAATGTTCGGTTACATCCGAACTTAGCCTTTTCTTACTTGTTTATAGTACACTTGTTATAAGCTTCGGCAGAAATGGCCGACAGTACCGAATTTAGGTTTTATCGATTTCGGCTCATTTTGGGGTGCCATTCGCTAGATTGTTGGACAGTTTCGACGTCATATTCAGAACCCCACGTTCATTTATGTTGTCAAGTAGCTCTTGCGACCTTTACTCGATATCGTTTTTGCAAAAGAATCAGTTCTTTTGGCACGAGTACATCATTAGCACGCTTTTTACCCAAAACATTTACCAAAATAGTGTTGAGTCGAGCCAAAGAGTTAATAAAATCTTCTGCTAACTTACTGATGTCAACACAACGATTTTCAAGCCTTGTTTCTTTAAAATTTTCGAAGGTGGATAGAAGACTCGCATGAGACATGTTTTCAATGACTTCACAAACTTCAATGAATGCTTTGTGTCAATTAAATACTCGCGATGAAGTAGACTCCCCAAAACATTTCTGCAATATTTTCAATGATTCCGTAGCTCTAATTCCTTTGGAAATTTGTACACAAATTCGTTGTTCTCTACATTGAAAATACATTTGTCAAATTGATTGCTGCCCAAAGCTCACTACACGCAAAAAGAAATGTTAGATAAAAATTAATTTGATAATGATCACCATGTTTTTTATACCGTTCATACTTGTAGATATTGCCAAGTTTGGTAAAACGCTTGCAGGTACCACAAGGACTAGATAAATATACCGATAAAATTTTATGCTGAAATGATCGAGAGATTAACTGCAATACTAATTATCAAAATTGAATGGCAACAAATTAATAGGCAATCATCGATTGACATATGCACAATGTAGGAATTGTTATCTCGAACATTTGTTGTTTAAATTTCTTAATTATCTTTAATGACTGTGCTCCCTATGATTTAATGACATTTTTATTTCTGCTGACCATTGGACACCGGGAGTCACAAAAACAGCATAAATCAAGCTGTGTGTAGAGACGCGTGGCACAGAGAGAAATTTCAAATCATTATCCTTGATATTAGGTTTGCCTTGATATTTGTGTATAAAAATACGAATCATTTATTGCTTTTTCGAAAGATCGGCAAAATTTGTTGCTGCCCACAAATTTTACATCCTTGAATCGCATGCTCGCCAGAGGGAGCCACCCACGGCACGCCGCCGACGCATGCCAAACAGCTAGGCAGCGACGGTGTCCGCTGCCCGCATGCAGTGACTGTCAGCGTGAGCTTCAACCGATGGCAATGAGTTGTATAAGAAGTTGCTAAAAATTTAACGTAAAGTAAAGGTACGAATGTTATAGGTATATTTATATGTTTACATAGAGATAGGTCTGTGTTGTCAAAATATCCCGTGGATCGTTAAATATATAAATATTAGTAGTATTTATTTCTCATATAAATTTACTTTTCCTCTCTATGTTCTTCATTAAAGGTGGGACCATTCAATTGTTATTATTATTTTCATACTTTTCGAAGGTTGTAGGGGAAGTTATCATCCATTTGTCTGCTATTTAATTGCTTTGAGTGTCGTCTCTGCTGCTGCCGAATATTCTCTTCATTTTTTTTTTGTCTTCAATATGATCCTTCATTTTTTCTATTATATGCTTATCTTTTAACTCATAAATTTGTATCCGCCTGCAGACGACCAGGTTAAATCACTATTGTAGCAAATTTCCATAAGTGATAATTATGCTTCCTGGTTAATCTCACCTAAGGTTGCACTCGAATGTCCTCATTGTTCGGAAAAATCTCGCTAAATACTTTGCACCTTCACATAAATGCATAAATTAGCGTTTTCTAAGAACTCAGGTGGAAGAGTTTGACCTTGACAAGAAGCTTAGAAATATGCCGTGCATCCCGTTAGCTTAGGTAAAAAGTATTTTTGTTGTTGCTTTTCGGTGTATAAAATGATGGAAGGTATCAAAACCTGCATACCTGCGCAACTACTGTCAAATTTTATAATATTTTGTTCTGCGGAAGCACGTAACCTCAATTTCGAAAATTAATTTATAAAAATAATTTTTTTAATTAAAAAATTTAATTCAATCATTTGCGCTTTTTATAAAAAAAAAATTGTTTTTAATTAAAAAATTAATTTCAAAAAATTATTAATTAAAAAATTTAATTTTAAAATTAATAAAGTAAAGTATTTGAAATAAAAGACATTATATATCTTATATATGACAATAAAACGGTTTTAATATTATTCTTCTTCTATTTACACATTCATAACTAAAATATAATTATATTAACATTAAAATTATATAACCATAGCATCTAACTATATTAATTACACTTACTTAAAAATAATTTTTACACCATTTTTTATATTTTCCTGTATTATTCTGTCATTTGTTTTCTCATACCACAGTCCGTGGAACATGCATTTGTTGTTGTTTTCTACTATTAAATACATATTTTACTGTAATCATTATAATTTTTGATTACTTTAAATCACTAACTCGTACCGGAAATTAAATAACTAACAACACTTAATGCCAGACTAAGCCCAAATATTAGCACACATACACACAAATAGTGTAAATAATTATTTATCACAGCACTTAATTTGTTTAATTATTATATTTCGCTTCCACACTCCACTAGTTTTTAGCCCGTCGGCTGCCCATCAATCAACTACATTCTTTGTCTCACTTTCTTCTGCACGTACAATGGACCGCGGTGATAGCCACTACCCCCCACCCTCCAAAGCATGAGACTTAAGCACGCTTAAGACTCGGTTTTGTAGGGCTTGAAGAGTTTCGGTTTCGGCTCTGAGACAGCTGTTTGTGATGGCGAGTATGCGTGACGTTTGGTGGCGCCGCTTATAGCGTTATTTTGGCTCATTAATAGACCAGCCGACTGTGTGGCGGTTAGATGATGATTGATTTCATTGATGGTGGCGGGCAGTGGGGAGTTAATATTTTCGCTGCTGTACAAAGTGCCGTTTGTATTTGTTGCATTCAAAGTGTTGTTGTTGCTTTCATGTGTTACGCTAATAAATTCAGCGCTGCTGTTGCTTCTGCTGCTCGTTACGGTGGCTGTGGGCATTGCAACGGTCACCGGTGTACGTTCGAAAACTTTAGTGTGATCCGAGCCGGTGGGGCTCAACGATAGCGTCGATGAGTGCGATGATGCAGATGATTGCAAATCGAGTGGTGGTGTCTGTTGTTTGGGTGGCAAACTGTTAAATGCACCGTAAGCAGGGTGAGGTGGTGCTATGGCGCCCAACATGCTGGGATAACCCGAGGAGGCGGCGGCGGCGGCCAAGGCATGTGCGGAGACGCTATTGTGATGTTGTTGCATTGTTGGTGGTGGCACCGCACGTGCTGTCATCGGTGCATAAGGATTGTAACGGTATGGTGCATAGTGGCCGGGCATTGGCATGGCGGTAGCGGCCAACATGGGATTGGCAGCGGGTGCAGCATATGGTGGATATGGCATGCCCACACTGTTGGCGGCTGCTTGCAGCAAAGAGGCAGCAAAGGCCGGATCGGAGTAGACGGCTGCATAAGGCCAGGCGACCGCAATGCGTTGACGCTTATCCTTCATGCGTCGGTTCTGGAACCAAACTTTAATCGTCGATTCGGGCAGATTGAGTTGTGAGGCCAATTCGCAACGACGCGGACGCGATACATAGTTCTCCTTGAAGAATTCCTTTTCGAGACGTGTCAATTGATCGCGTGTGAATGCGGTACGATAGCGGCGCACGGATGGATCTGTCGGTATTTCATTGCCACTCATGCGACTGCTGTTTAATGATGTGTCTGGACTGGAGTGAGATCCTGTAAATGGTATGTAAAAGAAGAATTGAATTAGTATTGTTGCTTTAGTCAAGACATTTGCTGAACTTTGCTACTAAGTAGCATCAGCATGTTATTGTATTGTAATTTGGTGCTGTACGCGTACACTTACCGTTTGGTGAAGGCGGCGGTGTCTGTGATTTCACGTACTGTGTGGCAATCAAATCGCCAACTAACGGTTTCTGATCTGGGTTCACGCTATCGTGCACATGTGCTGCATAAGCTCTGTATGTATGCATTTTTGTTTGTGTTAAATATATTTTTTTTTAATATCTCTTGAAATTAAAATCCAAACCGGGAATAAGCGTCGGTATTTTCTTTTTAACACATTCGCTGTCTCAGTATTCACGTATTTAGTTTTTTTTTCACTTTGCTTGTATGAGTATGAGTATGCTACGTTGTTGATTTCTAGAACTCGAATGATTTGCAGAGACTTCGTGCTTCGTCTTTTATAGTTTACAGCGGAGAGCACACCATCAATGTTTGAAAACCGGGCGGTTTTCTCTCTATTTTCCTTTTGTTACATAAATGTGTTCGTTTTCCATTATAATAGCATTACCACTGTACAACAACAAATTGAGTTAAATCAAACAGCCAATGAGCGGTTCGCAATTAGCTGGCTTACAAAGATTTAACGAAAAGAAGGCAAAACCAAAGTCAGAGAGCAGGAAAAGTCGTCGACGCTCATGCACAGCAGCTGTACGACACTAGAAGCAGGTACATGGGTACTATTATTAAGGCATATGTGCATGTGTATGTGTGTCTCATAAAGACTCGATGAATGGCTCTTGCGGTGACCTGTGGTATTTTTTTGTTCTGCCGAATGGCTGATAATGCGTCGATGACGGCAATTATGATCGTACGGCAAATTTTGTGATGAACAAATTATTGCTTGGGTACGGCAAAAAGTGGAAACTGTAATGAAGACATTGTAATTATAGTTTTAATATTAGCTTAAAATATTTTAACCTAAAATCAGTTTTATCACATAGTATACTCAATGCTCTCATACAGCATGAGCGTCACGAGAGCGCAAAAGATTTTCTCCAACTCCATATAACAAAAATTTTGGAGCGATGGGCGCATAAGTCCACTCCCTAACAAAGTTGCCGCTTTGTTTTTTGTTGACAGCTAAAAATCTGGGTGTTGCTAAAATAAAGCATTGTTAATTTATAAATGTAAAAATGTAATTGTTCCTTAAAAAGATTATATTGACAAAGCTGAAAATAATAACTTTCGCAACTATTGATTTTTCATTAGAGAAAAGAAAAGTTTTGCAAAGAAAAAAGAAAAAATCTTGTTGAGCATATGAGCAATTAAAACAGCTCTTAAATTTCATGTAATTTAAGATTACCTTAGACCACAGGTAATTTTTTTTTTAAGCAGCACGTGCTTTTAATCAATATTGTAATCTTTTAAAGCCATATTAAAAATACTAATAGTGATAATTTTAAATTTCTTTGACGCTTACCATAGTTTTAAATATAATAAACATTTAAGAGAATCATACAAAATTCATTGTTTTATGCTTGGTTTGGCTTTTTTTCTATACAATGATTCTGATATTTTCTATAGAAAATGGGAGTTGTTGAAAGAACAATGAATGTGGCGATCCCATCAACCTTGATACCTTTATTCCATTACTTTTAGAACCGTTCTCTTTTACTTTATATCTATAATATCCTAAATTTGTCGTTTATTTATTTATGTTAGATGATTGCGGACTTGACACTCATATACGTTCCTAGGATCTGAATTTTTTTTTCACAATTCACAATTTTTTCATAATTTTATGTTTTACAGTTTCCTAGGAAATTTTCGGCTATCAACATAAAACTTTTTTACGATTAATACTCGTATTATAGTACTATCAATTATTCCATCTTTCAACTATGCCATACTAAACTTCGAAAATTTCGACATATGTAATTAAAACAATATTCATCGACGTCCAAAGCTTTGAAACATTTTTTTATTTTTAACTCAATCACGTATTAAATCACTGAGTTCATTTTGAGAAAATAACTTTGGCATAGATGTTTCACCCTCCCATTCACTTCCATTGGTAGACTGTATCGATATCTGGGAATTTGACGACATCATTGTTTCTGAGTAGTCCATGTGAATTACTTTTGAAACAAAAGCGAGATTTTCATTGAGTAAAACAGGAAATTTGGGGGACTGTACGTCTCGACATATCCCCGTTTGATTTTTATTAAAACCTTCCGCAAAATATTTCGCAAATTTCCGGTAAGGAGCCACAGAGTGGGGATCAGTGATGTTGGTATGCGCGAAAAAGCTGCGCAGAAACCTAATCATGCAAATTGAACGAAATAATATTAGATATACAATAATATATCATGAAGAACTTTGTAATCTGTGTATTTGAAAACATCAAAATTTGCTAACATATCCGCAACAAACAAATAGTTTTTTTTCTTTTTGTAGAGCTATGGTAAACATCGATATCATGTCTAATATTTTAAAACGATAGCGTTTAATAAATTCATCTTCATTTTAATTTGCTTAAAAAAATCAAGGTACTAAATCATAATTGTTCAATACACTTTCTGGAATAGAAAATTTGTGATAATTTAGGCACTTAATAACAAAATATTCCAAGCTTTACTGAAAATAGTTTATTGATTACGCGCGACTTAAAAATACAAGAACTTTCTCGAAAAGCACGTTTTGTTATTTTCAGGTAGAAACCAAAGGAACTCGGTAATAGCTAAGCAAGTCTAAATTAAGCATTATAACGCTAACAAAGTGCTTTGAATCTAAAAATCTATGATTAAACGTAAAGCTTGGCAACCTTGACATTTCTCCATTGTATTTCGCTGAGCATGGGTAACGGCCAATACCACAGCTTTTTTGCAGCGCCATTCTCCGGCAGCGTAAAGTGAAACGCCTATACGTATGTACTCTTATGTACATATATATACATATACAAATGTATGTTGTTATATACAAATTTCGTATTCATAGCGATGAACGAATCTTTTGTTTCGCTTATCCACAAATGCTGCGCAACGCTGGAGCAACTGAGATGGGAGAAACCTTTAATAATTGGATTTTATCTGTTTCATCAAGAATGATATGGCATAATGTGCGTTCAGCAGCGCTAGTGCTGCGTGGAATGGGTGCATACATACATATATTAGTGTATGTGTATGTGTTATTAAGGAGGAGAGTGTGAGCACAGGAAATAACACAATTTGTATGGCAGCAGCTTACACTGAGTGGGTGGTTGGCTTGTTTGGTGAGTGAAAGACGGAAATGCTGATGGTGGTTGATGTTAAAATGTTGAGCGGTTAAGTAGTCGTACTTACTTACATATACACGGCGTTGTCTCGGCGCTTATACATGCATACATTCTTACTTAGATAGGTATTTATGTACTTACCGATGTAGTAAGAACTGGCTTCCAGTGTGCTATAAGTAATCCGTTGCTTTAAGCAATATTATCAACGCTAACCTCACTTTCCGCCACTCCTCTGCTGCTCTAGCTGTGTTAGTTTTAATTTGGCGCTCCTTTTTATCTGTAGCTTTTTATATTTTATATACAAGCTCACATATAAATATATATGTATATGTTTGTAAGAATTATATTAACGCTTACTGTTGTCTGCGCTCTTTGCGTTCGCCTTCATTAGCCACATTAGTTGGCTCGTTTTCATTTTATGTCGTTTATGTGCTTATTTTTCAATGCTCAGTAGCGGTTTATTGTGGTATTGGTGTAGCCAGCTGCCCCACTTTATCATATACTATAGAATATATACACCAACGTTAGACTCTTCTGCCAACTTGTGTCCGCACAGCACTAAGTAACGGTGCCATAATAATTTTTGTGTGTTCATATATGTATACAGACGGCCAGCAACACGCCGCACTGCTGCGTCGCCGCTGACGCATTTGGCTTCACGTTAGCAGCATATTATTTGCTCCTTTATAACGTCTTAATATTCGTGTGTTTCAATTTAATGGCCATCCTTACAACCACCAACAACCAGCATGTCGGCTATGGCATTGGAGTGGGTAAAAAGAGTGTGGTCGTTTTTGTTGTTTGGAGCCATGGAGATTGAGGGTTAGTATACATTGCAAAACTTGGCAACGTCAACATGCAGTCAACTAATAAATGACTTTATCTTGTTGATAAAGTTTTCGGTCCCAAGTTGCTACCGTCGAGCTATAATGTGGCTGATGTTGTTATTTAGTTGATTGTTTTTGTTGTATACATACATATATCTGCATGTACATACATATATCTGCATGTACATACATATATATTTTTGTCTTTGGGTATGAGTTTATTGTTATTTGGCTTTTTATATTTTCATTAACCGCCAAGCGATTTATTGCTGTCATCATGTTGTTGTTATTTGATGGGTTTTGTTTTTTATTATTACGGTAACGCGTAAGAGCTTCTTAATTCGCTTGTAGCATTAAATTATGTGTATGTACATATGTACACTGCAGTTGCAAATAAGATATGTTTGCATGTATGTACATATGTATATTCATAGCAGTACTTACAAAATTGAAATGTGTGTTTCATATTTTGGTGTTAATTTTAATTTCCGCTAGTTTGAACGTTTTTAGCTTTGGAAATTTTTAATTTTATGAATTTCGCAGTTTGATGTATATAAATATTCTAATATATGTAAATGAGTGTACCATTCTTAAGACTCAACTTTGTTTTCAGATTCTTCATAGAAATGGAAATATAACTTCATAATTGTTTTGATAAAGTATTGTAATTCTGCTTATACATAAGTAAGTACTAAATTGATCAAGCGTGACACATTCGAAGTTTTCTGTAAGCAACATTTGATAGTTGTAAAACTCTTCATTTTATATATTCTGTCATTCCAAAAGAACTGTGCCTGCTTTGACCAAGAATGATTCAAACTAATTTTTTTTACACTGTTCTGATGTGAACCGTATTCCAGTGAACGCGTCTAGTCGCAAATTCCGTATTTTTTTCGGCAATCGCTCGCCTCAATTTGATGAGTGGTTTTGCGTAGTGTTCCCCATTTTTTGATAGGGTTAGGGTTGTCGTAATGAAACCATTTTTTATCAAAAATTATTGCCTTTTGTAGCGTTCAAGCAGCATTTCTAACAAGCAAAATTGTCTTTCAACGTCTCTTGACTTCAACAAATATGGCACCCAATTGTGGTTGCTTGAGTGACTCAAATGTGTAATTATGGTTCTGAGTATTAACTTATTACGTGAATATTTATATTTGGGTACATTATATACATATATATGTAGACTCTCATATCTTTTATCAATCAATATAAATTATTATTCATATTACATTATTCTTGTACTAAGCATGTTGTTATTACTATAGAATAGTAACGTTTCTTTATGACTATAATTATGATGCATAAGCTACAACGATTTTATTTCTGATTTATGCAAATAATTGGTTCATA